ATTGCTCATACGCCCCGTCTTACAAGAATAATTAATTCATTAAATGAACCTCTAGGACGAATGTGGCGGATGCTGTAGACAATTATACTTTTTATTTATTTTCTCTTCGTTTAAATATTTTCATATATTAAATTAAAAATAATGCTAAAATATTATATATTTAATAAAGAACTGTAACTTGATCTCTCTATTTCGTTTCTAGTTAAAATATGTATATTTACGTACTAATATGTTTATGCTCGTAGATAAATATTTACAATGATATTATGAACATTTTCAAGTAGATATAGATTATACAATTAAATTCTAATTAACTTAATAACAGTAAATTTCTAGTAAAAACATAAATAATTCATGTTAATTTTTTCTTGTCGAGAGTGATGAAAAATTAGGCGGATGCGAATAGCAAAGAAAAGATAAGAACAAACATTTTTTGTTCTTGTTCTCGCTGGCAATACTCGAAACAGAGTTGCAAGGTCAGCCAATTTACAATAAATTAACTAAATTTTTGTTTTTGTCTTTTCTTTGCTATTCGAAACCATCTAAATAATTTATTTTCTTATCTTTTAAAATATCGGGTTTTAACCTTTCAAGAAACTTTATGCGGTGGGGGAAAAACTAAATGTGTCCAAATATTCAAAAAATCTCTCTTTAACAACTATAAAATAAACAGAATTGAAAAAAAGAATTAGAAACACGTGTCTTTATCAGATCTGTAGATATACACAGAGATTTTTGAGTTGACATTATTGAAAACTACATTCAGTAGAGTACATTTAGTCAATTAAAAATATTTTAAAAATATCAGTGTAATAAAATTACTGCAATATATCCTAGTGCTATAACCAATCATCATTATATTTATCGTATTTATCATATTTCTCTGACTTTCTCTAAGAACCGCTATCGATTAATATTTTTATAAATTACAGCACATAATTGAAGATATAATTAAATATAAACGAATATAAAAAATAACAAAAAAAAATGTAAATAAAAAAAAACGTTGACTGACTTTATGAAAAAGAAATCTTAATATAACTATTACAATGACAATAAAATTATTTAGAAAATTCAACTAACATCATTTAATTAACCATAATTCTAAAAAATCATCTGGAATGACGTCAGGTATATTATTTTTCAAAATTGGTTTATGAATAAAACATAATATAATTTGGTTTACACATTTGATTTGACCTATGTACACGTTTTATATATTGATATACTTCCTGGACAATAATGAAGTAGAAACTGATCAACATTGTGGTGTTATCCCCAGAACCAAGCCTAAAACTATTTCAGGAAAAAAGATAATATTCCATCCAATACACTTCCTCAATTAGGGCAAAAAACCATTAAAGTTAATTAATTAGTTAATTAAAGAATTAATTAATAGAATAATATATTGTTTTGATAACTCGCGGCAAAGAATGGATATTACGTATCAAGCATGGAGATTACGTATCAAAATTAAAATATATTCTTATAGAAGCTGCAGGAAAGAAGATAATAAAGAGATATCCGAGCACTTAATATGCAAATATCCAGGTGTGGCAAAGTTGTGATATTCCACTATGGAAGTCTAAAACTAATGAGCCTAGCTGAGATTTCAAACATGTGGACTAAAAAATAATTTCATTCATCAATCACTCAATTTCTTATAAATAAAATATATTTTTTTCTAGAACATAATCTCCGGGTGTGGTGACAGAACGCTGCTTACACGCTAATCGGACAAAAGAGGTAGCTTTAAAGAACAACAGCTGCCACTAAAATCAAACAACAGAAGTAAAGAAACTTTTTATAAACTAATAATAATAATAATAAAACAATAAGTTATTAATTCCAATTTCTAGCGGCATTTATACAAAAATTTGCTTCTAACAATTTTCATTGATAATTGTATTTAATTTAATCTACATTAAGTGACTTTAAAAGAACGAATTTGTTAATTGCCTACAAAAGCCGTTTAATTTCGTTGCCTACTTCAATTAATTCAAAAATTAATTAACGCAAAAAATTATACAAACTTTTACCGAAGCACGCAACCTGCGCCTACGTACACTGAAAGCAAAGATGACGTCCCGCAATGCGGCAACAAGTAGGAATATTTAATTTTCGAACCATAGTCTAAAGAGTATGGGTAAAAATTATATTACTAATTACAGTGAAAGCTCGTTTAAACGAACATTGACGAGACCGGCAATGTTCTATCTACTTAAGAGAATGTGCTTTTTATGAAAAATAAATACTGTGGACTAGCAATCATGAATGGCTGCTACTAATGTTTGTTTCTAAGAGTGTCTGTTTAACCGAGGTATCACTGTACACAGAGCAAATGTTTACAAATATGAAATAATATAAAATATAAATTATTTATACGATTAAATGATTAATTATATATATGTTGCATTTAACTGTATGATGTATGCATTTGTTGCGTTCAAACAAAATGAAAACTTAATGCGTTTTTTGACTGTTGCAGTAAGTAGCACTTAAATGCACTTAAGCAGTACTTTTGTTACGCAAAATAAAAAATTTAGTATATAGTTAGTGACATTATTAAACTTTAATGTGTAATTTATTTATTCATAATGCAAAGCTAAATGATTTTGTACGTACGAAAGTCGTACTCTGTGTTTAGTAAAAGTTCACTGAACTGTGTATTAATTTTTACTGACGCTAAATTAATTTGTAAAAATTTAACGCGTTAAGCGCATTTAAATTACTAAATTTTCACATGTTGTCTTATAATTACTTTAGCGTGACTGTCTCCACGCTTCACCTCGTGAGTGTGTTATACACAAATTGATAAACATTTCGGTTTCCAAGTATATTTTATACTAAATTGATAGTCTTTTAAATGTGCCGTGAAAGAAATTACGTTTTACAAGCAAGCTTTCACTTAATTTGTCAATTCTCACAAACTCCTTAAACAGCTTTGTTTTATAGTTTGTTTTAGAATCAATAACTAATAGGAGTTCCTCTTTCAGAATTCTTTTAATCAAATATTTTTGTGTCCAGAACCACATCTACATGCTTAGTTCGTGGAAGTTAAAAAACTTAATAAGAAAGTATCACATGCTAAAAGGAAATAAATTGCTTTTTAAAATTTTAGGAAATGCTATCAAATATAAAGGCTTAAGCCATTGAAGTGTTACCAACTACATACAGGTACAGTCAAACTACCATAACTCCAAGTACCATTCGTAAAGAAAAGATTCGACTTATGGAGACTTCGAGTTAGAGAATATTTTTGTAATTTAATTTAATTTACTCTTTAAACCATGTAGCACACTATTTAGTTCGAGTAATAGAAACTTTGAGTTCTAGAAATTTGAGTTATAGAAGTTTGACTGTACCTATATCTATCAAACCGATATTGTCAATTACATTAAATTCATATAGATGAAAGCGATTCAGCATCGCGTTTAAGTTTTATAGAACAAAAGTTTATCGAAATAAAATTCAAACATAATAGTGGCATTGCTTTATATTTGGCTGGAAAATCACAACCGCCTACTGTTCTTGAACTCAAACACCTCAAAGTAAATAAAATGTTTGTGTATTATCCCACCATATCGTATCGCTATGATGGTTGACAAAAAAAAAGAGAAAAATCACCTGAAATGGTTCGGAAAGTGAAGGCTCGATTTAAACGAAATCCACGTCATAGTGATAATCAAATGGCCAAGGAACTGAAAAATTCTTATCGAAACATTCGACATATATTCCAAAATGAACATACCAAGTAATGGCATAGGCATGACTTTGAGCCTGATGTCAAAGTCAATGAGATCGGGGGTAGTCAATCGCATGTGCAGATTATGATTTATCACTGGTAAATAATTTTATTAATTTTTTACGCAGTACGAATACCACCAATATAAATGATTAATCAAAGACAAAAGATGCACATATATCTTATTGGACACCTAACAATGGCAGTTGAAGAATAAGTAATTGGATTGAAGTGGAGTGGCAGCTTTGCATACAAAAGATAATTTAAGTACAAATAATAGCATGTGATAATATATACCACTGATGACAGAATGTTCGTACGTTAATTGCTTGATAATAGTGACAGACCATTAGATAAATTTCCATGTACCTCAAATTAACGACCTTTAGCCGTTTTGCTATCACATTCCTCGCAAGAAACCCTAAAATAAAAGAAAACAGACTAAATCCATCCAGTCGAAATTTAATAGGTCTTTTGTGTTTACCGATAAACTGATAAACTGAGCTGTCAAAGATAAGCTGTCAAAGAAATGTCTACCTAAAAGTCTATTTCTTCTGGACATCAAAGCCAGGCATTTACAGAGAATGTTTTTGATGATTTCTTTTTCCTGCAGGTTTCCACAACTTCTGCATGGAGGATTATCAGGAATGCACTGTTTCTCTGCGTGTTTCTATAAACCAATGACCAGAAAGAACTGCAGTAAGTCTTGTAATATTTACACGATCCCTTTTGATAAGTTCTCAAGACCTAGTTTTTGTATATAAGACATAAGACTGTAGTAAAAATAATTTTTTTTCGCTAGAAATGAATGAATTACATTTCAAACAGATTAATAATTCCCTTCACTCTGCAGATCTGGTGGTTATTTTTTATTTCCAAACTAAATTTTTATCTCCTATTTCTAATTATCAAATTAGAACATCTAATTAAAAAGTGATATCCGACGTTTATTGTGAAATCCTTTCCGCAATGTAACAAATGGAAACATCATTAAATGGAAACATCATTAAATGGAAACATCATTAAATAGAAACATCATTAAATAGCATTAAGTTAAGATTAAGTCCAAAAATAAATAACAATTGAAAAATTTAAAAGCGTTATTGGTCTTAAAATGTATATTAGTTTAGAAGAAAACCAGTTTTCAATAAGAAAATGATTTCACATTAACATTTTGGGGAACTGCATGCAGTAGCATAATGAATTTATATTACTTCATTAAAATTAAAATTTCAAATTAAATACTTCGTCTTACCTGTGCATTATTTCTCATCTGGTTTATGGCTGCAAATGAAGCAATGCAATGGCCTGGATTTTGATGATGCGCTTGTGGTAAAACTTCTTCATTTGGTCCCGGTGGGCTTAAGTCGCTGGGAGTTTGTGTTGAATTATTACTGGTCGTGGTAACATCTTCGGTGTTACCAGAGTTTTCGGTGGAACTGTCAAAAAAAAAATAAAATTTTATAAAATGAAAAAAAGTTATGAATACATAATAAAGTAATAAAGAACTATTTGCTAAAGTACTTAGCAAAATAAGGGTTCTACATATGAAACTTGAGAAAAGGAAACACAAGGACTTGAATGGATACATAAAATCTTATGTTTAGACTTTTTACTTAACATATGTCACTATATATATAGTGACCAATTGTGTGATCATGGTGACCAAGTCATACGACCAACACGTAAAATTACACATCCTGGAAATTTGTCACGTAATAAAACCAATAATACGTATTGTCTAGTTTATGACCTGTAGATCCATCCTACTAAGAGCACATATTTTCCACATCCATATATTTAATTTCACACCAAAACAATTGGTATTCATGTAGTAATCGAAATTGTGTAATTTGGCATGACTTTCATCTATATCATTTTCAAAAAAGTACGAGCCTTACGGACCAATTTCCAGAACCAGAACAACAACCTTTTGTAAAGAAATTATTTAAATCCATTATTACTTATGGATTGTCACTGATGACATGTTATGACATCACTGATGACATGTTATGACATCACTGATGACATGTTATGACATCACTGAAGAAATTTCAATGCGAAAAATCATCTAAAAGTTGTTGAAGTACTCAATCAGGGTATGAATGATCAACCGTCTGGCTTCAATTTAGTTTCCTTCGTTAAAACGGACGTTAAAGATCGATTTAATATAATTATTTTAATTTTTTTAATAAACAATTAAAATTTAATATTCTTGTATAAATAAAAAGAAATGAGTGAATAGTTATTAATTGATTTAGAGCACATCTATTTGTATAGAAAAAATTAATTTCTCTGATTTTTATCTACTTTATTTTATCTAAATTAATATCTCTGATAAAATGTAAATTCAAAACTAAAGATTAGTTGGATAAATTTCGAATAATTAAGTACTTTAAATATCGTATCTGTTTAAAAATTAAAATTAAAAATTGAATTAAATAGTTAACATTTCATTTCAAAACAATTTATTTTCATTCAAAATGTAGTGGAAAATATAAAAAAGAGAACAAAAAATTCGACAGTACCAAACTCTATTTCTGTTGTTTCCAAATCTGTAGACAATCAGTGAAATCAACCTTCGAACCATGTCAACTGAATTGTCTGAAAAGCCGAATGATTTATGAATTGAGTTTCAAGCAATGTCATTGAACCCAAAAACTTTAATTTTTTGATAAAATTTGTTTGAACAATGGGAGTCCTTCCATGACTTGTAAAACTCTATTTTGCAGTTAAAGACATACTTTAAAAATTTTTTAGTGGAAAGATGGATATACTTATTTGCCAAAAACAATTCGTAATTCTCTGGATATTAGCAGTGGCATTTCTTCATCAATGGTGTAAGACTTTCGAAGTATAATATTACACAAAATTTAAAATAATACCATATTTTCCCTTCATTTCCATAAAACTTTTTGTTAATATTAAAGTAAATAAAATTGATTTTTGTGACTTTAAGTTAAAGTTAATAGGATTTTTATTTCTAACTACTTATATTTCACTTTAAGGCTTAAAACATTCTTCCCTCATAAGGACATTATTGACATGCGGACGCCTGCACAGCAAATTATGTGCAGCCATTTTGTTTACTCGCAGTTACAATTCCGGAAAGGACAATTTCCCTGGCGCAATGTGAAAACTTCACAGTTGAAGTAACGCAATTACAAATACGTAAACATATTTAATACTTTTTTCCATTTACAACGATTATACTTATATGTGTATGTGTGCGTCAGACTACATTAAGACTGAAAAGTTTTCGGAAATTCTCATTTAAAATTCGCGCGCTGTATATTTTTCGATATTTTAAGTTTATGTAGTTTGGCAGCACTGTCCTTAATTACTATGCCAAAAATGAGCTCGATCTGTCAGACAGTTCGTTTACGGCAGCTGTTGAAACCAGTTCACCTCAGTAGTGCGTTGCGAAATGTCTTCGACGGTCGTACGACCGTCCTGGAAGGCTTTGTACCACTCATAAACTTGAGTTTTCGATAAAACTGATTCCCCATAAGCCTTTTGTAGCATTCGCAACGATTCTGCACACGAAATTTCGTTCGAAACACAAAATTTGATGCAAACTCTTTGTTCAATATTTTTTTCCATTGTTTTTTTCGCAACGCCCTACTGAGGTGAACTGGTTTCAACAGCTGCCGTAAACGAACTGTCTGACAGATCGCGCTCATTTTTGGCATAGTAATTAAGGACAGTGCTGCCAAACTACATAAACTTAAAATATCGAAAAATATACAGCGCGCGAATTTTAAATGAGAATTTCCGAAAACTTTTCGGTCTTAATGTATGTTTGTAGTACATCAAATTTGTGGTTTCGGAATTTTAGGGTAGCAACATAAGAATTTTGATGGCGTCATTTCGGGCGCCAGCATTTCTTTTATGATTTTACCAGGTTGTACTTTTAAGTCGGTACTCTTAGTTTGTGAGATACTTTAGAATTCAAATTCATAACATCACTAGATGAATGTATTGTACTTAGTAATAAATTTTACTGAATCGTTCTACTTTTAAAACTATTATATATAATATATAAATTAAAAAAAATATATATGGTGTACGTGTCAGCCCGTCAAGAATGGGGTCCATTGTGATAATAAAACAATATATAATAAATAATAAAAAATAATTTTATATAATTCTATATAATTAATTCTTGATTAGATATTTTCCTAATATTTAAGACAAATATTTTAAGAATATTTTATATTCTTGAGATTGGTTAATTGAAATTCTATTTCTAAGCTAGAGCCACCAAATAATTTTTCAAAAGAAGTAGGAAAAAATTCCAGCCCTTGTAGAAAATTTATCAAATCATTACTTACTTGTTTCAAAACAACTTTGGTTTGGGTTCATAGACATAGCGAATAAAGAGCGCGCTGATAAGCTCGGAAGATTTGACGCCTCTACAATGGAACCTCCCGTTCCAGTTTCTGCTCCTGCCAGTTAACATACAATCACTTTTTGCGATAGGTCAATAGAAGTGGGACTAATATTTTCTAAGCAGCTGAGTCAGGAGTGACATGGTCTATTTACTTCAAATATAAGATCTATGGCTTAATCCATAGAACTAAATCGAAAGTATCTAAGATAATACAGGTTGGATTATAGGGCCGCGTATCCTACTGAAAATCTTTTACAACATGTTTACCCGAGACCGAGGGAGGTATTGGAACTCCTGTAGTGTTTTTGTCAATCTTATCCAGACCCAGGCTTAAGCTTTAAAGCGATCTATTCTTTGATTCACCCAGCGATATTATTTTAAACTTTAAAGTTTAGTATTGGACAGATACTTGCATTTATCAATGCGTCCGGTTAGTGCGATTATGCTCAACTATTGACGAAAAATATTCTAAATGACATTTAAGCATCAAATTTCGATTAGGAATTTTTAAATAGATTCGAGCCTGATGAGCAGCAGAATCAAGGCTTAAAGGGTTGTTGATTTAAAATGATGTTTCTTTAATTGAAGAAAATGCGATAGCAATCAAAAATATGAAGCGATGTTATGGGACCACCGCAGAAACTGCAGTGATCTTGAGGAATATCTCTGACTAAGCGTCTGTGGGATACAAAAGTGTGTTCGATTTTTTGAAGTGATTAAAAATTTTTGTAGACAATATAAGATTATATATGTAGACAATATAAGATTATATATAAAATTGTTCCTAGAAAAGCAAAAGTTTTTTTTATATATCTGTACAGTGTACATAGTTATCAGTTTTATAATAACTAAAATAATTAATAAAATATATGAAATCTGTTTTCATCAGTTACTTACACGTTAGATTTAACAGGTAGAAACATTGTTGTTCAGTTATTTTCTTCTCAAAAAGAACGTGATGCAATTCCTTTAAGCCTTCAGGACTTATGTGTAATTTGGCATTGGCATTTTTGTGCCTTTCTTACAATGTTTTCCTTATAATGTTACTCTTTTTTTGATTTTTTTAAATGCTAAAGTTTTCAATGTTGTCCTGTCGTCTACTTTGTAAATGCTTTAAAAGTCTTTTGTTTTTGATTATTTTTCGGCAGTCTTCAACCTCACCCTTAATGTGTTCCGTCTACTGGGGGTTGCTGAAAAGATAAAGGCAGAAATTGGATACAGTTTGCAAATGCATCAGAATTTTGTGAATATCATAAAATGTTATTGACATTGTACATAATAAACATACATATTAACATATACATAAAATGGCCAAATGAATTCATCAAAGAAACACTCATTCTAACATCAGCAAATACGTAGATATGTCAAATTTTAGACAAAAACGTTTTTATTTTGTGGAGGTAGTGTGGAATATATAGGGTAAATATATAAACATATCTATACATTGTACATGAACCAACAAAAGTACTGAAACTAGGTCAAATGACATTTGTACTTTTTAGATAGAATGAAGTCACGTTAACAATACATAAAAACATTTTGTTATTTAGAAATTTGTACAGAAGTTTTGTCTTTTCATCAAAGTTACTCCTTGCTGACATAATTAATGTTTCAAAAGGAATTGAATAATTAACACCAGCATAGCTATTTTTATTTTAAATTAATATAGGTAAGTATGACTGTTAATTTTTCCTTAACAATGTTAAGTCACAAGCATATTTTCGTTCAAAGTCATATTTTCTTATATAAAATAAGGAAAGGATTTTTATAAAGAATGCCTTCACGTTAGTTGAGTTTTTTAATAAGGAAACTACTTACAACTTAATTTGAAAAGTTTTTTGTCTAAAATACTGCATCTACGCCAAACTAAAACAAAAGATTCTTGGGGTAAAAGAAAAAAATTCTCTCAGCTCAACACTTCAAAAATACGTATGGATATTTTCACATGGCATTTTGCCAAAAACCGTCTGAACAATAGAACATTTGTTAGATAAAACTCATTAGGGGGTTAGGTGGATACAAAGTGTCTACACTTGTAGAGGTTAAACTATGTTTGTAAAAACACAATGTTTACAAGCATAAAATCCTCTGATAGCCTTTTGTTTCCAATTAGTGAATGCATAAACCACAGCAGATATAGACTCATAAAAACGTTTGTACGTAGTTGCAAGGATTTTTAATATTGTGCCTGTTGATTACAGACTAAATTGATGAACAAACTGTGATGGGTAAAGATAATTTTTATTAATTGTTGTTATTTATGTTTTGAAATCTAATTTGTTAATATGTGAACATATCAAAATCTTAATTGCTTAATTTTAATTAAAAGAATGAAGTACTTTCGACGGAGATGCAGTATTATATACAATACCAACAGGTAATTTCATTTACTTACAAACGTTTATTTTGTGAAATAAACATCGAAAGTTATTAATTCTATTTAAAATACAAAAATTTAGAAAATAAACATTAATTTAAAAAACTTTTAAACAAAATACGAAGAGCATTTGTAGAGTTCTGCGTCTAATATAGAAGCTACAACACATTTATTGGAATACACTTATTTCAACAACGCATCTAAATAATGATTTTCCTTTCAAGTTAAAGTTTCAATTTAAGAAACTATAAAAAATCTGGAACCGATATTATACCGAAGTATATTCTAATGCATTGTCTTGATGGAACAAAATTTTAAAAAACACTGGTTTAGACAAATTAGTCTGGTTTAATTATACAGTCAAACTTCCATAACTCGAACTTCTATAACTCAAATTTTCTATAACTCGAACCTAAAACAGTGCACCAAGGTTTTAGGGAACTAATTACATACAATTCTGGATCCATAACTCGAACTTCTATAACTCGAATTTCTGTATAACTCGAACAAAAATTTTGTTCAGTGCCGATAAGAATATTGAAAAGTGCATTCTATTAGTCGAATGTTTGTTTTAAGTATAAATGCATTTTGCTTTTACGGAAAGTCTCTTTTTCCAAACTAAATGTTTAATTTTTTCTTCTTATGTTGCTTCTTTGTGCAAATGCCAGTCGCTGGCAACGTGCTTCTCTTAACGATTATATTGAGCTTGACAATGAAATTTGTACATCAAGTTTTCCTTCAGATGACGATATTATTGAGCACTATAGTTCTAAATTACTGAATTCAATTCTAAGCGCAACGGAAAGTGATGATGACGCTTCGGTGGATGTAATTATTTATCAGCCTTCCAAGAATGAAGTAGAAGACTCATTCAAAATTCTGAATTTATATTTGCAAACGAATAATATTACAACTGATGATCACTATAAGAGTATGAATAAAGCGAAATCTCTTTTTAAAGTCCCAAACCCTAATTTCTGAATATTTCACTTCACTATAACTTTTGTGCTTTATTTGATTGTAAATAAATAAATATCTTAAAATATAATTCTAGTTTCTTTCAAAAATAAAAAAAAAAAATAAAAAAGTTCTCTAACCCGAAGTCTCCATAAGTCGAACCTTTTCTTTGCAAAATTGAACTTCGAGTTATGGAAGTTTGACTGTAGATTAAAAGGAGAATATTGTATAGTTTAGAGAGAAAATATTCACAACTTAAAGCAAATTTTAAACATGTCTTAAAACATGTCTTTTCATATGTAAAGCGAAAAAAGTATTTAGCTTATTTGTTATTAAGAAATTACATCTCTGCCTAAAATCTGTTCAAGTTCGCACAGTGAGCATTCATATTTCATATTTTATATTTTCATATTTGATATTGTAGTATTTTATCTAGATTTACGAAATATATAAAAGTAATAACAGTGGGAATACAACATATATATAAGAGCGTTTTTTGCACTAACAAACCTTGGAGAAAAATATTTCTTCAAACCAATTAAGGACAATATTAATTTATTCTTAATAATAATATTTGAAATTTCAAAATCAGAAATCGATGCAAAAGTACATAATATATATTAAATTCTTATGTATAACCATATTGATAAAATAATTAAAGTATTGCTAGCAAATATTATTCATATAATCACATCTCAAATATATATAAAGTATTCATCTTCAAGGACTAAGGATGTTTTTGAAATTCTATTGCTTAAATTTGAAGCACCTCTTATTTAGTTGATTTTGTTGAATCCAGTGCATCAATACTTCTTATTATATTTGTCATTGATAATAAGGATTTTATTTTCCTTTTATTCAATTTAAATTAAATTGCATCGATATTACATTAAGACCGAAAAGTTTTCGGAAATTCTCATTTAAAATTCGCGCGCTGTATATTTTTCGATATTTTAAGTTTATGTAGTTTGGCAGCACTGTCCTTAATTACTATGCCAAAAATGAGCGCGATCTGTCAGACAGTTCGTTTACGGCAGCTGTTGAAACCAGTTCACCTCAGTAGTGCGTTGCGAAAAAAACAATGGAAAAAAATATTGAACAAAGAGTTTGCATCAAATTTTGTGTTTCGAACGAAATTTCGTGTGCAGAATCGTTGCGAATGCTACAAAAGGCTTATGGGGAATCAGTTTTATCGAAAACTCAAGTTTATGAGTGGTACAAAGCCTTTCAGGACGGTCGTACGACCGTCGAAGACATTTCGCAACGCACTACTGAGGTGAACTGGTTTCAACAGCTGCCGTAAACGAACTGTCTGACAGATCGCGCTCATTTTTGGCATAGTAATTAAGGACAGTGCTGCCAAACTACATAAACTTAAAATATCGAAAAATATACAGCGCGCGAATTTTAAATGAGAATTTCCGAAAACTTTTCAGTCTTAATGTATATTCAGTTGTGTTTGTTTATCGATAATATTTTTATTTGTAAATATTTTTCTGAACTTTTTAGTATCGCATTCCTTTTATGCATTAAGTGTTTTCATTGCAGCAGGTCCATAATGTTTCCATACAGCCACAAGCCAAGTAGGTCAACAATGCCGCAAAAAGCTGAACTTAAGTATAAATTGAATCGCGATGAAAGGGGTTCAAATTTGATTTAGTCCTTACAGCAACAGAGCAAACGAAGCAAAAAAAAATAAACACTTTTTCTCAAAGGAAAAGGATATAGCGAAGCAGTTTGTACAAGTTTTTCTGTATTACAAGCTGCGCCATTGTACGAGTAATATATATTTGTGCTAATAGTACTATATGAGACTGAGTTCTTAATGGATTGTCATAATTGTAGCATCATTTAATGCTACATAATATCGTTACACAATATAAAATATTAAAAAGAATGCTGATAATATTATTTTCCAGAGAAAACCACTTTTCAGTAAACATTTTTCAAAAGACTTTTTGTTGCATAAATTATAGCAATTTGAATGAGTAATTTTCAATTAAAAGGATAATAAATAATAATAAATTTTTAACTGAAATTGTTATAATAGCGAAATTACAGGCATATCACAATTGATGGATGGCAAATTAAAATTTAATTAAATCACTTTTCAGTCAATGAAATGATTCTCGTTGCTTTAAATTACAAACCATAAAACGAGAAAGCATTTCAATAAATTTCTTATGCTAAAATAATATAATAGAAATTGGAATTTCTACTATAAAATTTTCAATGCTATACACAACAAATGCAATGGATCCATACCAACAACAACATTAATCCGACATGTAACAATAGAAAAAAGCGCACACAATACTTTAAGTCCATAAAATAGGTTAACCATGAGTAAAATTCTACTTTAATTCGCAACCAAGGACATCTCACAAAAAAAAAAAAAAAAATCCTTTTTAAATGAAAGAATAAAAACAAACGCATGTTAAAAAATAAATGGAACATTGCTGCATTTTCAGGGCTTTATTGCATTTTAACCACGCCACCAAAATCGAGGACATCCATCGACAACTTTGTTGAGTGTTGCAAACCTACTTTTATTTCCCTTGACTTGAAGTACACATAACAGGAAATGGAAGTGAAAGCGAAAGTGAAAGCAGTGAGGGAAGTGCATTATATCCTGACTGCCAAATTAATGAAAGCTGTAAGCACGGAAAGGATATTGTAAAACATGCAATAAAACACGGTAAGCATTAAGAAACCCCCATTGAAAATTCTTTCAATGGATGTACTAGTGGGAATGGTTTGATATGTTCAAACCATTATGCATTTATAATGTATAACAGAAAATATACTATGGACGTAGTCATGTTATTAATAACATATTAATATTATTTATTT